TAGGTGTGAATGTGAGTGTGCTTGGTTGTCTGTCTCTAAGTGTAGCCCTGTGATAGACTGGTTACCTGTCCAGGTGAACCTGCCTTCACCCTGAGTCAGGGGATAGACTCCGCCCCCCTGTGTATAGATAATGGATGGATGGGTATTGGAACATGCCTATTGTGTGTCAACTGGGGTGTGTGGTTTAAGACACAAGGCAGTTTTAAATATCCCATATTTTGTTCTTTTTCAGAAAATCAATGAATGTGCCCAGAATGTGTCTTTCGATTTTCAGCTCCGAACACTGCAAAGATGGTTAATTTCACAAAACTTTAAATACAACGAACAGCTGCTGTCCACACATTCTTCATTAAAAAGACTGAATGTCCATCAGTTGTAAAACTTCAACAGGGCTTCACACAAACATTAATAGACCAATGGTGACAGAGCTGCCATGCCATCAGGAGCAAGCACACTTTGGCATGTGGAGGGGCTGGGAATCAAATCACCAACCCTGCGATCAGTGAACAGCAGCCGGCTCTGCCACCTGAGTCACATCCATGTAAAGCTAGGAGGCCATCTAGTTGTGGGGGTACTGGAGGAATGGCATAAGTAAATGTCTTCATATCTTAACATTTTTTGCTTTACATTTTAAAGTTTAGAACAACCACAAAACACAATTAAAATGGATCATATGGGTACTTCAATGCATTGCACCCCTCTTGCCTCGAACACTTTTTTCACAAATTTGTCCTCCAGTAGCACTTGGACAGTGCATGTTTCATGTTTTTTGGAGAAATTTTTTTTGGAATTTTTGGCTTTACAGCTTCCCGTGACTCAGGGCAGTCAGATGGCAATGAACAGATAACAACCACTGTGTTTTGCAATTCTTAAGAAAATCTTGAAATGTGTGATTTCTATCTGTTTGACTATGAGGAGTCTTACTTTGGAGGTTTGAGGTCCCTGTGAATTAAGGCCTTTGGCTTCATTGCATGAAGATAGGCAACTCCCTTGGCACACTGCAGACACCAGCTCATTGCATGAGATGCTGTGTAGTGGGGCTGTGGATCTGCACTGTGCAGGACTGTGAGTGACAACCAGAGAGAGAACCAAACAATGAAACAACACTATAATGAAATGTACAAACACACAAACGTACACAATTATTTTGATGCAAATCTCAACTGTAATTTGAAATTGTCATGTGCAGTTGAAACAGGAGCTTACATACACTGTATAAAAACACATAAAACCTTTACATAACACCTCAAGACATCAGCCAGGAAGTTAAAGCTTGGAAACAAATGGGTCTTCCAAATGGGCAATGGCCCTTAACATACCACCAGATTAGTTACAAAGAGGCTTCAGGACAACAAGTCAATGTTTTGGAGTGGCCATCACAAAGCCCTGATCTCAGTCCTGTAGAACATTTGTGGGCAGAGTTGAAAAGGCCTGTGGAGCAAGGCGGCCAACAAACCTGACTCAGTTCCACCAGTTCTGTCAGGAGGAATGGGCCAGAATTCATCAAACTATTGTGAGAAGCTTGTGGAAGGAAACCCAAAATGTTTGACGCAAGTCATACAGTTTAAAGGTATTGCTACCAAATACTAAGGAAATGTACGTAAACTTCTGACTTTGAAGAGAGAAACATAAAATTCTTAAAAATTCTCTTTCTCATTATTCTGGCGTTTAGCAAATAGAAATAATTTTGGTAATCCTATCTGACCTAAACAGGAAAAGTTCAGTCTGATTCAATGTCAGATAGTGAGGGGGAAAAGTTGTCTTTTCATACAGTGAATGTAAACTTCTGTTTTCAGCTGGATGTGAATGGCATCCTGTTGCCCAGTGTGTTCCAGCTGGGTTTATATTTTCACTGATATTTATTTATTTTTTTATTTGCTAATCAAATGAAACTAAAAATTTTAAAATTTAAAAAAATACAGTGCTTAACAATTTTACTAGACCACCACCCAATGAAAGGTACAGTTGTTTACTTGCATTCCTGAACAGACAAAAATGTTTTAGTGGTTTGTTTGTTTGTTTATTGAAATCCCTACTAGCTTGTACAAGGCAGCAGCTATTGTTCCTGGAGTCTTCATAACTTCATTAACATCAAAAACAGTATGTACACACAATACACACAACTCAATACAATTACAGAATACATTAACACAGTACATACCAAATACCAACCAAAAACACACATACACAATACAGACTACACACACATCTACAGCGCATACTGAACCAACGAATCATACAACACAAGCTCCCACACTGAACCGTCATAAAAAATAGATTTTGTCCTACTGCAAACATGACATGACCAATGATCAAGGAATGGTATGCCATAGAAGTTAACCATGATTTTAGTCTCCTGAACAAGGAAACACAGAACCCTGCATCCTCACAGCCAACAGGGCTATACAGCCCTGACAGAGCACCCCATGGATGTTAATAACTGACATCTTGTGTGTAGTAATAAGCTTTTAATTTTATTTTAAAGCTTACTATGTTCATAATTGGGAAGTGAATTCTATTCTTTCATTGCTCTGCATACCACTGTACGCTGAGTAAATGACTTAGATCTAGGTAAGGAAAAGCAATTTCCAGCAGCATGTCTTGTTGAATATTTATGTATTGCTGTACTAAAGGACAATATACTATAGAGAACAGTTGGTGTTTTTTTGCGTGACAATATTTGTCATGAACACCATCAGCAAGTACAACAATCTCTATTTGACATGAAGCCAATGGAGACGATTGTGCATGTTAGAGACATTCATCCCACAGGAAAGGGCAACACATGCTGCTTTACTCTGTACCAGCTGCAGTTTTCTTATGCTACCGAGTGAGGTATTGGACCAAACAACTGTACTGTAATTCATGTGCGACAAAGCCAAAGCTTGAATGACTTGTATAGCAGTTTGTGGTGTAAGATATTTGGCACATGTCCTAATCATTGATAAAATATTTCCAATTTTAGTTACGATTCTCTGTATGTGTTTGACCCAAGATCGTATATATGATCAATAAGAACTCAACAATATAAATGTATATTTAGCTCCAGTAACCATACTACTGGCTATCGACACATTCAAAATCAGTTTATTGCTGTTAATCCACTCAACAACTGACTTTGTTTCCTCATTTAAATTTGTATTTAAATCCCCAATTGTTGTTTTCACTAAATAAACTGTGGTATCCTCCGCACACATTACCACACACGCTTCATTTAACACAAAGGGAAAATCGTTTGTAAAAATAGAACACAAAAGAAGCTCAAGACAACTTCCTTGAAGCACTCGATGTTTCACATGATTAATGTCTGACTCGTTTCCATTAAAGCAAACCATTTGCTGTCTCTCGCTTAAGGAACTGTCAATTGTTAAAAGAGCAGAAGAAGAAAAAACAGCTTCTTTTGTTCGAGATCATTATACCAATCGTCTACCATTTGAGTAAAGGCCGCTGCTGTAGCGTACTTTTCCCTAAAAGCAAGCTGGAAGTCAGTAAACAAATCATTATTTGAAAAATAGAACTGAATTCGTTCATTATTTTACTCAAAATTGGTCATAAACTTAGTGGATGACTGTTTGATTCAGAAAAATGAACTTTTTATTTTTTGGTGTTGGTATAATTTTTGCAAATTTCCATGCCTGTGGCCATTTATTTTTGTTAAAACATAAATTAACTATATGAGTGATCACTGGAGCAACAACAGCAACAATAGGTTTGAGCAGCCGCCTGTCAAGAAAATCGACCTCAGGTGGCTCATTCTTATGAACATGAGCTCAACTCTCCATACAGTAAAAGGCTTAAGATTAAAGACACAGTGTTTACTCTCCATAATCTCATTTAATAATCTCACTGCTCAGTCAGTGTTACTATTCTGTACAGTAGCCTTAAGCTTATCAATTTTAGTTGTAAAATAATATTTAATTGATTTGCAATGTCTTCAGATCCAGTGAAGAACTCCACTTTTAGTATTGTCTTTCATTAGATTATTTAAAGTACTCCATAATATTTTACTGTCATGTTTAGTTCATAAATAATGTTACCATAGTACTGTTTTTCCTTCTCTTATTTAGTTTTGTAATAAACATTTCTTAGTTTACAGTAAATTTGCCAATCTGAGCTAATCCCAGATGATAAAGCTGTTTGCTCTCTTTCCTTCATATATATCCTTCCAATCCTGTGTCCAGCCATGGGGAGCTAACAGCTCCGACTGTGGATTCTTTCACAGGCGCATGGTGATCTAAGACATTTGTTAAAGTTTCATTAAAAAGCCTGGAGGGCAGCTTCTGGATCATCAGACAACAATATATCAGACAACTTAACATTTGAAATATCTCTCATATTTTTCTTGATCAAAACTTTTAAATGATCTCTTCTTGATTATTTTAGATCCCTCCTTTGGTACTTTTGTTTTTTTGTCAATTGCAATTAAATTATGGCCACAGCATCCTATAGGTATAGATATGGCTTTGGAGCAGACTTCTGGCGTGTTCAAACAGAGCTGATCAATACCTGTGGCCACTGTCTCACCATTATTACTAAAGCCAATTCTAGTCAGCAGACCTACAGTGCATCCGGGAAGCATTCACAGCGCTTCACTTTTACCACATTTTGTTATGTTACAGCCTTATTCTACAATGGATTCAATTCATTTCCCCCCTCGAAATTCTATACAAAATACACCATTATGACAACTCATGACATCCAACTTTATTAAAAATAAAAAACGAAGAAATCATATGTACATAAGTATTCACAGCCTTAGCCATGACGCTCAAAACTGAGCTCAGGTGCATCCTGTTTCCACTGATCATCCTTGAGATGTTTCTACAGCCTAACTGGAGTCCACCTGTGGTAAATTCAGTTGACTGGACATGATTTGGAAAGGCACACACCTGTCCATATGAGGTCCCACAGTTGACAAAACAAAACAAGCATGAAGTCGAAAGAACTGTCTATAGACCTCAGAGACAGGATTGTCTCGAGGTACAAATCTGGGGAAGGATAAAAAAAATGTCTGCTGCTTTGAAGGTCCCAATGAGCACAGTGGCCTCCATCCTCCGTAAATGGAAGAAGTCTGGAACCACCAGGACTCTTCCTGGAGCTGGCTGGCCATCTAAACTGAGCGATCGGGGGAGAAGGCCTTAGTCAGAGAGGTGACCAAGAACCCGATGGTCACTCTGTCAGAGCTCCAGCGTTCCTCTGTGGAGAGAGGAGAACCTTCCAGAAGGACAACCATCTCTGCAGCAATCCATCAATCAGGCCTCTATGGTAGAGTGGCCAGACGGAAGCCACTCCTTAGTAACAGGCACATGGCAGCCTGCCTAAAGTCTGCCAAAATCCACCTGAAAGACTCTCAGACCATGAGAAACAAAGTTCTCTGGTCTGATGAGACAAAGATTGAACGCTTCAGCCTGAATGCCAGGCATCACGTTTGGAGGAAACCAGACAGCGCCCATCACCAGGCCAATACCATCCCTACAGTGAAGCATGGTGGCGGCAGCATCATGCTGTGGGGATGTTTTTCAGCGGCAGGAACTGGGAGACTAGTCAGGATTGAGGGAAAGATGAATGCAGCAATGTCCAGACGCATCCTGGATGAAAACCTGCTCCAGAGCACTCTGGACCTCAGACTGGGGTGACGGTTCATCTTTCAGCAGGACAACGACCCCGAGCACACAGCCAAGATCTCAAAAGAGCGGCTTCAGGACAACTCTGTGAATGTCCTTGAGTGGCCCGGCCAGAACCCAGACCTGAATCCGATTGAACATCTCTGGACAGATCTGAAGATGGCTGTGCACCGACGCTTCCCATCCAACATGATGGAGCTGGAAAGGTTCTGCAAAGAGGAATGGGCAAAACTGCCCAAAGACAGGTGTGCCAAGCTTGTGGCATCATATTCAAGAAGACTTGAGGCTGTAATTACTGCCAAAGGTGCATCAACCAAATACTGTGCAAAGGCTGTGAATAGTTATGCACATATGATTTCTTAGTTTTTGATTTTTAATAAATTTGCAAAAATCTCAGAAAACCTTTTTGAAGTTGTCATAATGATGTATTCTGTGTCGA